ATCACAGTTGAATAAAATCTCCAACTCAATACTCTTTCCTTTATTTAACCAGGCGAAACCCCACTGAGATTTAGATCTTGTTTCCAGGAGAAACAGCAATATTATACAGTTCTATATGGAATCAGACGCCAGATCTTCAGATCAGCCTGAACATTTTAAACCCCAAAATTTTTTTTTTTTTTTTTTTTTTTACTGAGCTCTACCACCTCTATTATTATGTCAATCCTGACTATTTAAAATAATATACTCATCTACTGGATTTAAAGAACAGTAAATTTATGAATTTGAAAATTATGATACATTTTCATCTATATTAAATAGAGTCCACTTCACCTGAAAGTGATGTCTGTGTTACAAAGAACAAAATAAAACTACATTAAAATATTTTCTGAGTTGGGTAGGTCAGTTTGAGGTAGAGTGTATCATGTCTTTGCACAGGTTGCAAATTTGCTTGGAGAAGAGTTTTGGTCTAAATGTTCTGTTATTAGGAGTGAAAAACAGTGGAGAGTGGGAAGGAATCATGATCATTATTTTTGCCAAATTCTTGCCTACCTCCACATCTAACTCATTTTCTACAGAGTGAAGCTTTACTTTATTAGCTGGCAGAGCAGGCCGGGGCCTCAGCGCTGTTAGTAGCCTAAAGCAGCTTCCCACCATGAACCAGATGTTAAATTCCACATCTCCACTCTGATTTTCAGTCACACGTTACAGGCCTGTGCTGTGTGAGCTGATTTGGTAATGTTGCCTGTTCTCTTTATTCAGAATCTGTTTCAAGTCCATGTGTGAAACAAGCTTGGAAAAACAGCATTAAGAACAGCTTCTGATTCAGATCCTTCCATTGTTATCCTATAATGCTTCAGAAATCTTTGGCAATGATTTTAAGAAATAAAAATATGCTTTGTGAGCTGATTTGTTTTGTTCAGTTAGTGATATTGTACTTTAAAGCCACCAACTGTAATGTATACATTCCTGAAACAGGAGACAAGTACCAATTACAATCATGATTCAGTAGGCCAGTGGAGAAGATACTGGCATATTGGAACAATGTGACTGGAACTGACGAAGTGAGACATTTTAAACACACTTCCAGGAATTTCCCTGAGCAGACACAGGGTGCATTTCATTTATTTAGTTAGAGCTGGCATTTACATTGTCTGAGGAGACAACAAGACACATCTTAGTTTATAATTGCTCTAATAAAACTAAAGTCATTTCTTGATTTTGTGCAATTGTGTGAGAGGGACGTAGTTTAGACATCAATATCTGATGAAATAAACCAAAAAATATTCTGGAAATAAATTCTTTTAATCCAGTTTTTGATATCCTCTTTCGCATCTCAGCAGGCTACAAAATGGGCTCCTTCATCAGCCTCATTTCTAAATCTGGTGTTTGCTATGGCTGACTTTAAATCAGAAAAACAAGAAGGAGCTGCCCTATTAAAACACAAAAACTTACTAATTCTAGTGCAAAAATCTTAGTAAACTTGAAATAAGACAAAGCTAACTTACAAGTAACATTTCAGCAAGATATAGCAGTTTGTTTTAAGTCAATGATTCTTGAAAATAGATTAAAAAGTAAAAGTTCCACTAGCAGATTATTTCGATTATCATTTTTGTCTTAAGTGAAATAATCTGACAAAAGGAACAAGTACTTTTTCATCAATATAACTGACTTAAAACAAGCTCATATTTCATATAAGTTAGCTTAGTCTCATTTCAAGCATACTAAGGCATTTGCACTAGAAACTCGATCAAAAGTAATTGGGTAGATCTTGCGTTTTTGCAGTGTGTGAATGAAAGAGTATCTGCAGAGATCCTTATGCAGCGGGCGGATGTGGCTCTCTGCATAAAGTGTATTAGGGCCACACAAAACTCAGTGTGTTTATCCCTGTGGAGTTGGGCTTTGTCATCACACACTGTGAAGATATAGGCACTGACACTGGGAACAGTGTGACCCACTTCTCCCTGACCTGGAAACACTCCGCAGGCTGACCCCGAGTCTAACGCCAACGCGAGTTGAATCAAGCGAGAGGGGGGGGAAGATGGGACGGTGAATCACATCAAGGCTAATCATGAATTATTAAAGGTTAAAATGATAAGAAAGCACAGAGGTCAGCAGCAACAGCAGCAGCAGCTCCCAAATTACACTGCAGCATTCACGCCAAATTCAGAGGCATAAGAGTCTGAGAGGATCACAGGAGGAGAAAAGGAAAGTCAAAAAATGAAAAGAATTGGTTTTATATTTTCATTAGCCATTCATTTAACTATACGTTCACTTCAGTTATTCGGTGGTCTTAACACAACAATAAAAATCTCATTAAAAAAACAAAATCCAAAAGAAAGAATAAAGAAAAATGCTAATGTACAGCATTGTTGAGAGTTCAGCGGCAACGCAAGTAGAGAAATGAGAACCTGGTGGTCTATGGATGACTTTTGGATGCCACCATAAGAACCTGGCCCAGTTATGTGAGGACAAAGGAAAGGCATGTGCTGGGCTCAGGCCAAGTACTTCCATATGGGTGCCGAGTTCACTGGGTCCAGGTGGCATGTGGCAGGAAACATTACACGGTCTGTCAGCAGGGATTTGCTGCCTCCCGATGGTCTGAGGGATGTAGTGCATCAGGGACAGTGAATACAATCACCTTATGAATTTAAGATTAACTAGAAATTAACAAGAAAGGGGGAGAAGTGTTTAAAACAAAGAAAACAAATAAAAATATAGACTTTTCATAAAATATAAAAGCTACTTCTAAAATGGATCAGGAGTCCATGTAGATATTAGGACTGATTCTAAGTTTTTTATCCCTCATTTGCATTTGCTTATGAAAATGGTTTGAAGTAGTATTGAACAAAGTGAAAACAGGATGCAAAGATCCAGTGAGTGATATAAACAAGAGTCCAAGCTGGTAATGATTAACCATGGAGAGGTGCAGTCACCAAAGTACCATGACAACCTCACTCTCTACCAGGTGCTAGACTGGGGTCAAGCAGCATGTGAAAGGGGGAGGAGCCACAGAGGCAAAATACTTTCAGGATGCAAGTCACAAAACAGCCATTTAGAGCAGAGACCTTCCTTATATGGTCAGCAGCATCTGTTGGATCAGCTTTAGCTGTGGAACGTAGAGAAGCAACCTTTGAGAAAGAAACAAAGACAGGGTTTTTGACCATCCAGTATTACCAGTATTACATCTACAGGCGTAGTGTTGAAAACAGCTGTTGCCAGCTCAGTTATTTGGCCCCTGACCTGGGTGTTTGGGCACTGAATGGAGAATTGTGAATTCCCACCCTGTTAGAAGCATTTACAAGCCCAAAGAGCCTCGCCTCAGCCCCCCTTGACCTCAGCCTCACCCTTGCCCAGAGCTTGCACCGAGGCATCCTGGGAGCATAAAAGGGCCAAAAGAGAGAAAGAGAGCAGTCCTGGCAGCAAGCCTACCTTGTCAAGTTTACAACCCAATCAGGCACTGCCTCATAAATTTCCACCTCATCCTCCTACAAGCTAACAATGCTGTCCATTCAGTGTGTGCTGCTTTAATAGCTCCTCTTCAGCTTCCTTCCACTGCCTAGAAACAAGCCTGCTCTCCTCCTCCTCCTCTTACCTCAAAGCTTTAGAAAGGGATGAGCAGAAAGCGTACGTCCAAGCAGAGCAACACACAATCAGGTCAGTGAGGAGTCATGGCGAGGTCAGCTGTTTCTCAACTGTGTCTGACCTCTGACCTTCTCTACAGTGCCACCTGGTGCTGGAATGACACTCAGAGGAGTCTAAAGTGAACTTCACGTGAACCTGGACCTTAACATTGGACCACTGCCTCACCCCGGCTCCTCCAGTGCAGGTTTCCTTTAAAGCAAAGGACCACTGGCTTTACCATTTTGACCACTTATCACCATTTTATTAACAGACATTACCTGCTTACATCACAAACACTTATGAGTGCTGGCTCAAACGTTGTTATAGTTCCAGGCACTTTCTGTCACTGCTTGCGTTCAGTTCATTTCAGCTGATGGATTCTGGATTCACAGCAACTGTTAATGCTGTAGCTTTAAAGAAGCAAAACACAGCTCTGTCCAAGACAGTCTGGTACCGCTGAGCTCATACTCCCCTCTTGTGGACATAAGGAGAAAAGATATATATGTTAAACTCTGCTTTGTCACTAGAGGAAGCTCTTTCTTTAATAGTTTTTATCAGCAGTCACAGAAGTTATCATAAGTCTGACCAATGAAAAGGGACTAATTTTTTTAATCAGTACTGACTACTGCAATGTGTAATGTAACAATAGATACAGTAAAAATTCTCCATTAACTCCCTTATTCTTTAGTAGATCTGGGTGTAGTGATGGACTCGGACCTGAACCTTCAGAGTCACGTAGAGACAGTACAAAGTTGGTCTTCCATCACCTGAAAAACATTTCCAGGATTAAAGAACTAATGTCCCAGCGAGATTTAGAGAAACCCATACATGTGTTTATCTTTAGTCAGATTGATTACTGCTACAATGTCTCTACAGGTCTGCCTGGGAAAAAAAAAAAAAAAAAAAATCAATCTTCCAGCTGCAGCTGATCTAGAACGCTGCTGCTGGCAGCAAAATCCAGTGTTTTGGATTTTGTTCTTCCACCAGGAAGATGGAGCACATCACCCACTTCTAAAGTCCTTCTACTTGGTTCCTGGAGCTCAGAAAGCAGACTTTAAAATACTGACGATAGGTTATAATTACTGAACAGCTGAGCACCAGAACACATTAAAGATCTGCTACTGTTGTATCAACCTTCCAGATGCTCCGTTTTGTTCCAGAAATAGAACAAAACATGGAGAAGAAACAATCAGTTTGTATGCACCACAAATCTGGAATAAACTTCTAGAAAACTGAGAAACAGCTGAAATCCTGAGCTCCTTAAAGTACTTTGAACTGTCTTGTTGCTGAAATGTGCTATACAAATAAACTTGATTGATTCATCAAAAACAGGAAGTTAAAGATTTACTTCTGGGAGGCAGAGTGTTTGAACTCACCCATGCTGTTGCTGGGTTCTGTCTCCAGGGGATGGTCACCATAAAAACCTGGTGGGAAGGCATATAGAGGCAGATGAACAGTTAGATATTACACTCGTGGTTTGCTTTTAGTGTTAAAAACTGAAGAGTGGCTCTGGAAAGTGCTTCATGCTGCAGGAATCTGCGTTGTTGTTTGGCAAATACTCTGCAGGAGAAAACATGGAATCGGGTCAAACGGTTGGTGAATGTGGCAACGTCACAGTGACCCGAGTGTTTTTTGGCTTTACAGTAATGCGAACTGTCCCACCCCCACCTGTTGCTGTCCAATATCTACACTTTTTCCTGGCATACAAAACAGAAATTCAGCTGGAAATATTTCATGTTGCTTTTCAAACTGCAGACCAAGGCGTGAAAACTTAAGAGATTAAGAAACTACACTTAATGTACATTTTTATAGGGATACACTAATATGAGAATTTAGACAGGTATCGATATCCAATATCAATATCGCTGTTATGGCCACAAAAAATAAAAAAATTTAAAAAAAATAAAAAATCATCAACGACATTGCTAACTTCTCCACTGCTTCTCTGCTTCCCACAATCCTTTGCAGCATCACCATCACTGCCCAATGACCAAACAGATGTCACATAACAAATCTCATCCCCCAATCCAGAAACAAACAGCAACAATATGGAAATAAATATTAGTTATTAATACCATCCCAGTGTTTTTTGTTTTTTAATCGGACTGATACCGATATGTTAAATAAATGAAGAAATTAACTCCACTTCTGAATTGGTTAATAAACACTACTGAACTTTTTAAGTTAAGCAAATATTAAACATAAAATCAGCTTAAAATCATTGGCAGTGCAGCTCAAAAACCCAGAAATCCCCCACAAATCAGTCTGAAATCCCAAAGATTCCACAGACCAAAGGCCAGAGGGGATCTAGTTCCTCCAGGGTGTTCTGGGTCTGCCCTGGAGTTTTAGTATGACATGACCATCCCACTTATACCTGGAATTTCAATCTTTCAGTCTTTGTGAATATTTCTTACATCTTACATTTCTTACAAGGAGAAAAAATGTTAAATCAGGAGCTTAGCGTTCAACCACCAGGCATGATTCTAGGGCCTTATGAAATCTGCTTTACTTCCCAAATTCCACGTTTTTCATGTTAACCATATTTATTAACCCAAGAAGAATGTAATCATTGTGTGAATGAAAAGAAAACAAATCAATAGGTGAAGGTCAGCATACATATGTTTCACAAATACAACAGAGCGCTGTGGTTCAACAGAACATTAGCTTTACAAGATGTTAAAGTGGTTCTTCTTAATATTTGTAAGAACTCAATAATTATGAGCAAAACTAAAAATCTTAACATATGAAAATATTCATTTTAAAAATGCTTTACAGTTGATCTGAATACCTAAATATTTATCACATAAAAGACCTGCTAAACTAAAAGCTTGACTCAGTGTTTTGGAGTTGCTTCATGTTCCTGCAACTGCACACCCCACTGTTTATTTTTTTAGTCATAGCTATTGTTTGTTTTAATATTTCTTGTCTCCTTCTAATTTTATCATATTTTGTTTTGCATCTTTTAATGTTTATGTTATTTGTTTCCACTTTAGATTTTAGTCAGTCATAGTGATATGGTGATAGTTTTCTTGGATTTTATTGGGCTAAGGCTGCACGATATATTGCTAATTTATCATTATCACAATATCAATGTAAACAGTAAGTGTTTAGATTCCAAAAAATATTACCTAATTATCCAAGTACAATGCATTCAAAGTGTATCGTCTCTATGACAAATATATTTTGAACTTGTTTACTGGAGCAGTATGAAAACTTTCAGATGAGAAAAGAGGTGGTGATGATTCAGCATCCAGTCAGTCATGCCTGTCTGTAGACAGATCGTTGACCCTGCTGAACAATGATTGCGTTTTGTGCCTCATGAAAACTTGTGTGGGTGTAACCATAACAGTACCATGTATGTTGCCGATTGTAGTCTTACTCTTTTCATTATGAAAGAGTAAGACTACAACATCTTCCATTATGACATTAAACCATCTTACTCTTTCATAAGAGTAAGATGGTTACTCTTATGAAGTAAGAGTAACTTACTTCATAAGAGTATGAAGTAAGTTCATACTCTTATGAACTTACTTCATAAGACATTAAGACATTAAATGTCTTAATGTCTTAAGACATTAAATGTCTTAATGTCTTAAGACATTAAATGTCTTAATGTCTTAAGACATTAAATGTCTTAATGTCTTCCATTAAGACATTAAACCATCTTACTCTTTCATAATGAAAGAGTAAAATGGTTTAATGTCATAATGGAAGATCTTGGCCTAAACTCAATAAGTTGCCATCGTTGTCGTCAATATCTATACTCTGTCTTAAGGCAATTCAAAGAACAAGATAAAAAAATTGTTTTTAGAAATTCTCTGAATAATGGTTTTAAATAACCTAAGATTTTAATATTACCAAAAGATTGTGTTCATTATGTTGCCATTCTAGTCCAAAGTGTTGTCTCATCATGAGCTGGACGTTTGACCTCTTACTAGAGATGTGCCGATCAGGATTTTTCCTGCCAATTCCGATTCCGATCACCCATGAGGGCTGATCAAGGCCGATCACCGATACTGATCACATAGTTATTATTTTTTTTAATCATAAGCACTACTGGTTACATTATGTGGAAAAAGGAAACATGAATTCACCTTAATTTAGACAAAAACTTGTTTTTAATAAGTTTTTCCAAGAAGAAAAAACAAAACAAAACAAAACAGGCATTGTGCAAATTGTACTGCTATTGATAATACTATCTTTAATAGACTGATAACATATGAAGGCTCTGAAGAGGCTAAATAATGCAAAGAGTCAAAATAAAACCTATCAACATTGCCAAAAATTCAAGTCTAAAACTTAACATTCAAAGGCAAATACAGGATCCATTACAATAAACAATCATGAGTTAGTGAATGAAAACTTCCTGTTAGCATGGCGGCTAGCTGGTTACTGCTAGTTCTGAGTGGCTGTTTCTGACTGAGCAGAGGAATTATGCAGAACAGGGAGGAGGCAGAGGAGATAGATTCTTTTTTCATGTTAGGACAACGAAAGTTTTAATGCGTATGTAAAAAAAAATTTTAAAGTTAGATGCTGCACCTTCAAACAGAGGTTCGGTGTGAGAGTCACTACCAGGTGGAGCAGAAGCGGCGCTCCGTCTGTGAAATATTACTACCTGTAGCGTAGCAGCGGTTCAACAGGAGAGCAGAACCAGCGTCTTACATCGCAGCTCGAAGACTTAAATAATTTTGCAGGTTATTATTTGTTTAGCTTTCTGACCGTCATGCTAATCCGGGTGAGCGTTTGTAGCTGTGAGCTGCTTTACCTGCTATCTGATCCTCCGTATGTCTTTTTTACTGCAGTGAGCCTCGATGTAGCCAAACTCCGTCAAGTATGGCATTGTTTTTATGCCATATTAGATTCGTGGTGTTGATGCATTTTGACGTGCTTCAATTTTCTGCCGCAAAACGCAAACTTCCCGATTCATTCAATGTATTATAATTCCACTTCGCTTAGGATTTGTTGCTGCGCTTGCGCAGTGTGTGAAGGAAAAAGGAGACCAGCTGCACAGGCAGGCTGCGAAATGAGAAGCAGGTGATCGGTTTGTGTGATCGGCAACAAGAGACCGTGATCGGCGATCACCGATCATACACTTTTTCACGGAAATCGGCCGATTATGATCGGTGGCCGATCGATCGGCACACCTCTACTTCTTACTGCTGTGGAAAATGCTTCTTATCTTCCAGAACCCTGCTAGGTGTCACTAATTGTTATATTCTACTGGGCTGCACACAGATTATGAATCTAAACTACACTTGACTTGACATAGAATAAGTGTTTTGAGTGTTGCATTTGTATTGAGCCTTTGCATTGATGTTCAACAGAAACACTGTCCACCTCACTATCCATTCATTCACGTCAGGTAATGTGGTTATTATTTTGCTGTCTTTAGGGAATAGTGTGATGAATCCTTTCTGCAGACCACCTCACAGACTTTTAGACCAAAAATTAATCTCACAGCACAAACTGCTGGAGCACTTTTAGCCATAAAATGAAATCAAGCTGTATAACTGGACTAATCGATCTAATAAATAATGGACCAATCAACCAATGGACCACACTGTCTGATTTTAATGCACAGCCTGATGTATCATCTGACTCCCATAGCTGAAGAACAATCTGTTTTCTTCATATCAGTTACCCACTTGGTGCCAGAATTTATTTTTACCCACTCCCCCCTCCACATCTTACCTCCTTCAGCAGCGCAGCCATCTGTGCGCCCACTGAGTGACCGCTTCTCACTTACACAGCGCCCAGTAAGCCACATCATTCATGTCCAGACTGGTTCAGACCAAGGGGCCATCAGTATCGAGTCCACCAAACCACTCACCTCCCCCGATTTGTGTCAGCGTACCTCCATGCTACCAACAGCTGTAGACCCCTGACCCGACACACGCTAGCTGCCCCCCTGTCCCTCCCCTCCCCCTGCCCAGAACCAGCCCCGCAGTCAACAGCAGCATATGTTCTCCCTAGAGCATACACCAACACACACGTGCCTCAGTCATCTTCCTGCTGAACAGACACACACTTATACAAATGTAACAAGAACGAATGTCTGCAGGCCCCCGCTGAGTCAGTGCACAATCTAGTTCACTGTCGATGTTTCAAATCATGTGATCGACCATCCTGGTCAACAATAATGGTGATGAACTGATTATTGAAATAATCATCAACTAATTTAGTAATTAAATAATAAATAACTGGAGTATGCAGACCAAGGTCATTTGCTAAAAGAACACCACACTCAAATTAAGCCAAAGCTGTATGAAAAATATATGCAGTTTGATTTAAATAGAAAAAAATATATATACTTTCTTTGTAAATCTGTTCTACTCAGAACTCCTCAAATGTTAGTTTCAGCTTCACCTGGTTCAAACGTAAGTAAAAGAAAAAAGAAAAAGATATCCTATTTTGCACCTTTTGC